TATCTGAGGTTTGTTATGGGGGGCTGGTGGCTGTTTTCATGCTGGCCACACCCCCTTTAGGTTGGGGGTCCCCACTGGGGTGCCTGGCCAGTCTGGGTGAGGGGCTGAGGGCTGTTTTTAGGCTGGCTGGTGACTGAAGCTCCCAGCCTCTCCTTTTTTTTTATTCTGGGATTTATTTACCTTTTATAATTGAAACTTTGTTGCCATCACTGGAGCTGAGAGCCAGCTCCTGCTTGCTCCAGCTCCGAGGCTATGGCCTGCTGAAAGCAGGTATCTGAGGTTTGTTTAGCTTCTATAATTGAAACTTTGTTGCTGTCACTGGAGCTAAGAGCCGGCTCCTGGTCGCTCCAGTTCTGCGGCCACAGCCTGCTGAAAGCAGGTATCTCGGGTTTCTTTAGCTTCTATAATTGAAACTTTGTTGCTTTCAGAGCTCAGAGCTGGGCTGTGGCAGGCAGGGAACCTTGGCTTCCTCCATCACTGGAGCAAGCAAGCCTCCTGCTCGCTTCAGCTGCATGGCTGCTGGCCGCCATCTTGGTTGTGTTAATTTGCATATTGTGTTGATTAGCCAATGGGAGGCATAGCGAAGGTACAGTCAATTACCATGTTTGTCTATTATTAGATAGGACTAGAGACTCAGTGCATGGATTTGTGCACCAGTGGGGTCCTTCGGCCTGGCCTGCACCCTCTCACAATCCAGGACCCCTCAGGGGATGTCAGAGAGCCAGTTTCAGCCAGATCCCTGCAGGCCAGGCCGAGGGACCCCACTGGTGCACGAACTCATGCACCAGGCATCTAGTATGCATATGAGATCTTTGGTTAATCTCTTCTCAATCTCCCCCTCCCCCCTTCCCTCTGAGATTCATGAGTCTGCTCCATGTTTCCATGCCTGTGCATTGAGCGTCTGCCCCCCTGGTGGTCAGTGTGCATCATAGCTACCGAATGGTTAAATGGTGGCTTAGGCTTTCATATATATACTAAAGGCCTGCTGCATGAAGAGATTTGTGCAATAGACCTTCCTTCCCCTGGCTGCCGGCACTAGTTTTCCTCTGGCATCCAGGACCCATGCCTTCGCTGCAACTGCAGTGGAGAAGCCAAGCCTGGAGGCTTCTCTGCTCTGGCTGCAGCAGAGAAGGAAAGCCTCTTCAGTCTTCAGTCATCTTCAGTCTTCAGTCGTCTTCAATCTTCGCTCCAGGAGAGGAGAAATCAGGTTAATGTGTTATATTATACTAGAGGCCCGGTGCACGCAATTTGTGCATGGGGGGGGGGTTCCCTCAGCCCAGCCTATACCCACTCCAACCGGGAACTCCTTGGGGGATGTCTGACCGTCGGTTTAGGCCCAATTGGGATCGGGCCTAAACCAGCGGTCAGACACCCATCTCACAATCTGGGACCGCTGGCTCCTAACCACTCACCTGCCTGCCTGATGCTCTTAACCCCTCTGCCTGCCTGCCTAATCGTCCCTAACCTTTCTGCCTGCCTGCCTGATTGCCCCTAACTGCCTCTGCCTGCCTGCCTGATCACCCCTAACTACCATCCCCTGCTGTCCTGATCTTGCCCCCAACTGTCCTCACCTGCTGGCCTGATCGTGCCCTAACAACCTCTGCCTGCCTGATCACCCCTAACTGCCCTCCCTTGCTGATCTGATCTCTCCCCCAACTGCCCTTCCCTGCCGGCCTGATCACCCCTAACTGCTTCTGCCTGGCTGATCACCCTAACTGCCCTCCCTGCTGTCCTGATCTTGCCCCCAACTGTCCTCTTCTGCCAGACAATTTAGTTCTGGTCAGTTTCTATGCCAGTCAGCATCAAAAGCTCCGCCTCCTAGGCAGGCATTGGCTCCTCATAGTTCACCCAGATTTGGTTCTGATTGGTCAGTTTCTATGCCAGTCAGTGACTCTGGGCCTATCAACGGGGCCTGATCAGAAAGGCGGAGCCGATCAGCAGCCCCAGTGGAGGTCTGGAGAGAAATGGAGATGTGGCTGTTGGTTAGGCTGGGAAAGGAAGAGAGGCAAGTTCTGACCAATGGCTGCCACAGAGGCTACGGATCAGATGTTGCTCCTCTCTCTGCAGGCCTCTCTCCAGGCCTGATCTGCAGCTCCCCTGGCAACCCAGCACTGACTTCTGGTCTGGTCAAGCCTTGGGTCATTACGATCCTGGCTCTTTATTAGATTTTGAACTTTTCAATTACAGTTGACATTCAATATTATATTAGTTTCATGTATACAGCTCAGTGGTTATACTTTTATATAACTTGTGAGTGGTCCCATCAATAAGTCTAGTTATCCAACTGACACCACCCATAGTTATTACAATTTAATATAGATCATATTTCCTGTCTGTACTATATATTCCATGACTATTTTATAATGACAGCAGAGGTTTTAAGGGTAGTATTTAAAGATCTAATCCTTAGACTTTCCTATCAGAGAGCGGCATGTTATATCCAAAGAAAGTAAGTCTCTTGGTAATAGTTAATAGATTTCACTATTAAAACTTAACTGGAAATGGTCATTTTAACTGCAATGTCAAATTATTTATAATGGGAGATAGCTCATATAATTTATCCACTATCCCCCTCCCAATATTAAATACTAGAGGCCCAGTACATGAAATTCATGCATGGGGGGGGGAGGTCCCTCAGCCCGGCCTGCACCCTCTCCAATCCTGGGGTGTGTGAGCGGGTGGGGGGGAGGTCCCTCAGCCCGGCCTGCACCCTCTCCAATCCTGGCCCCCTTGGGGGATGTCCGACTACGGGATCGGGCCTAAACCAACAGTCAGACATCCCTCTTGCAATCTGGGACCACTGGCTCCTAACCACTCACCTGCCTGCCTGCCTTGTCACCCCTAACCACTCTGCATGCCTGCTTGATCGCCCGTCTCTGCTTGCTGGCCTGATCGCCCCTAACTGCCCTCCCCTGCTGGCCTGATCGCTCAACCGCTTTCTCCTGCCGGCCTGATTGCCCCTAACTGCCCCTGCCACTGTGGCTTTGTCCAGAAGGAGGACCAGATGACCAGAAGATGTCTGGTTGACCCGGTCTAATTAGCATATTACCCTTTTATTAGTGTAGATTATTAGTATAGATGTACTTGTCCATTGTACACATTGTAAGAGGGACATCTGACTTCCTTTCCTTCAGTCTTCACTGAAGCATAGCTCATCATGCCTTGTTCTCTCTGGGTATCAGGCCCATGATCTGTTAGAGCAGTGGTTCTCAACCTTCCTAATGCCACGACCCTTTAATACAGTTTCTCATGTTGTGGTGACCCCCAATTTCATTCTTACAAATTGAACACAATGAAAGCATAGTGATTAATCACAAAACAATATGTAATTATATATCTGTTTTCCAATGGTCTTAGGCAACCCCTGTGAAAGGGTCGTTCGACCCCTAAAGGGGTCACGACCCACAGGTTGAGAACCGCTGTGTTAGAGCCTTCTGGTATCAGGTCCACAGCTTCTGGTTTCCCAGGACTCTCTTAGTATTCCTAGCCTTCAATGTGGACTTGGGAGTCCTGGTCTATTTCCTCTCTCTATACTCCAATGTTCTTTGAGGCTATACATAGAACTTATTACTATTATGACCTTATTTTGGCACCATGTTAAAAGTGGAACTTCTTTCTGAGGCTTGTAGTCTTCTTCTCTACAGCATAGACACAAGTCTAGATATTCTTGAATGTATTTTCCATCTATATAAAATTTCTATTACCTCCTCCAAATGAAACACAGAGGGTTGGGGGAGTGAAGTGCTGTGTAACTTTGGAATCTAGGCAGCATCAAAACCAATTCCCACATTCTTAGATCCATGACCAGACCTCCCCACACCAATGTAAATCCAGCATCCAGGGTGATTCCTAGCATATATCAGGTGTCTGATGAATTAGCTTCACAAGGAAAATAGGTTTTTCCTGTTTATATAAATATTACATGCTCATTGGAAAGAAAAACAAAAAAATATAGAAAAATGCAGAAAAGTTAAACAAAAAACACCTGATACTCCACCAACTCTGAAACAGCCATCAAGTTTTGGAGACCATCCCTTCATTCATGGATCTCAAAAGTTCATACAAATACATAATTTTACATAGAATTTTGTACCATACATGTTGCACTTTCATTTCTCTTTTTCCCCAGTCTTTTTCCTTACTCATAACCTACTTCTCCACCTCCCTTCAAGTTAACCAATGTTAACTGTCTGGTGTAGGGTCTTCCATACCTGTTTCCATGTTTATCTAATCACATGGATGAACACACAGGAAATACAGAAATGGGTGTAATTATTTAACAAAAATGAAATATTACGCATATACATATCTGTAAGAAAGCAGTTACTTACCAAAAATTATGCAAATGCCTTGGAATCAATTACTATAGATATAACTCATTTTAAAAAATTACTCTTATGCTATGCTATTTCACACATCAGGATATATCACAATTCATCCAACCATTCTATTAGTAGCCATTCATTTTGTCTTTATGTGTATTCTTATGCATTAATGCTATTATTTCTGTGGGACAGACTTCTGGGTCAAAGCTTTTTATTTTTAACCTTTTGGTAAGAGTACATGGTTTCCCAAACCCCACTCACAAAAGATCTTTTAATTTTGCCAACTCCATATAGTGAAAGTAATATCTCAGAGAATGTTGTAATTTTGCATTTCCCTGAGTACTATTTAGGTTCATAATATTTTCATAGGTTAATGGCCATTTGGAGTTGATCTTCTATCAATAGCCCTCCAGTCCAGAAGGGTTAAAGATTTCAATGTAAAAAATAAAATTATCAGAATCTTAGAAACAAATTTAGGAGACTATGTATAACCTAAGAATTAAGGAGACCCTTTAACTAAAATAGTATATCAAGAAAAAAAGGAAAAATGAAAAAAATATATCTTACTATAAAAATAAAAATATGGTGACTTCTACTATATAAAAATATAAAGACAAATGCTAGATTAAGAAAAACACCTGCAACACAGATGACAAAAGATGAATATCTAAAATATATAAAAGAGCACTTCCAGATTTATTAAACAAACCAATAGAAAAAAAGGCAAAAGTATATAGGCAATTCATTAAAGATAACTTGTTACATGAATAAAGTATCAAACCTGGATAAAGGCTTTCATTTGTCCATTATTGCACTCCATTGTGAATTTCTTTATAAGATTTAATATGATTAAATGTTTTTCCTCATTCATATGTTTACAGACTATTTTTTTCTGTGTAACTTCTGGTAAATTGATTCCTGAATATCTTCCCACTTTCATTATATATACAGATTATGATTTTTCTTATAGACAACTGGATGACTTATTATTCTTTATATTAACTGAGTTTTTCTCTGATGTACTCTTTGATGTACAGTAAGGCTGGAGCTACTCCTAAAGGTTTTTCCACATTCATTACATTTATAGGGTTTCTCTCCAGTATGCATCCTTAGGTGTACAGTAAAGTCTGAGTTTGTTCTGAAGGCTTTTCCACATTCTTCACATTTATAGGGCTTCTCCCCAGTATGAATTCGCTGATGTAGAGTTAGCTGTGAGAGAGTGATACAACCTTTTCCACATTCTTTACATGTATAGGGCTTTTCTCCAGTATGTGTTCGCCAATGCACTGTAAGGTATGAACACCTCCTGAAGGCTTTTCCACACACATCACATTTATAGGGTTTCTCTCCACTATGGATTTTCTGATGTTCTGTGACATGGATCATCTGGCTAAATGCTTTCCCACAGTCATTACACTTAAAAGGTTTCTCTCCAGTATGTGTTCTCTGATGGGTATTAAATCCTGAGTTACTTGTGAAAACCTTCCCACATTCATTACATTTATAGGGTTTTTCTCCAGTATGCCTTCTTTGGTGCACAGTAAGCTGTGATGTACTAGTAAAAGCTTTCTCACATTCATTACATTTATATGGTTTTTCTCCAGTATGGGTCCTCTGATGTATAATAAGATATGACTTAGTCCTGAAGGATTTTCCACAGTCACAGCATGTATAGGGCTTCACTCCAGTATGAATTTTCTGATGCTCCTTAAGATTTACCATTTTGGTGAATGCCCTTTCACAGTCAGTACATTTATATGGTTTCTCTCCTGTATGAATTCTCTGATGTACAGTTAAGTGTGATTTTATTCTGAACGATTCCCCACATTCATTACATAGATAAGGTTTCTCTTCAGTATGAATTCGTTGATGTATAGTTAGAGACGAGGAACGCATGAAAGCCTTTCCACATTCACTACATTTATAAGGTTTCTCTCCTGTATGCATTCTGTGGTGTACTGTAAGGCATGAATAATTAATGAATGCTTTCCCACATTCATTACATTTATAAGGTTTTTCTCCCGTTAGTGTGAGTTCTTTGATGTTGAATGAGTAATGACCTATAACAAAAGGCCTTTTCACATGTACTGCATTTATAGGGTTTTTCTTTGTTATCATTTTTTACCCTTAAAGTAAGTTCTGAAGCAGGCTTTATAGCATTGTTGCCTTCCGTATCCTTGCAATTTTTCTTCCCCAAATGGGTATCTGTATTCAAATCTAAATTCTCTGTGAAATTTTCCTCATGATTTTGGCATTTGCTGTGGAACTCTCCTGGCTCTGGACAAAATATAGACCCAAATTTAATGCCTCTTTGGCCAGTGTGAATTTTCTTCTGTGTAACTATTTGGCTCTGACTCTCCTGACTATTTTGCAGTCTCAATATCCTGTCATTCCATTTCCATAATCCTCCCATTCTGGAGTGCCATAGACCATTCTCTGCAAGTTTCTCTACTCTGGTCTCCTGTGACAAATCTTCAAAGATATCCTCTGTTAGTATAGCATATTTGGTTGCTGGTTTGGTCTCCAACTCTGGGGAGGGGAAAAAGGAAAATCAAAGGAGTCCATTTTCTATGTTAGGGAGTTCTCACTGAACTGAATAAGAGGAAAACTTGGGCTGACACTAAGTATGTTGTTTTTAACTGCTTGTAAATTGGCCTTGTTTTCTAGGAAGAAGGAGCTAAAGTTAAGGGAGGCTGGTTGAGCAATGAGCCAAATTAGTAAATTCAAGGAGTTTTCCTCTATTCAAAAAAGTCATTCATGGTAATGGTCCTAGAATATTTGAGAATAAGTCTCTCAAACATTTCTCTTTCATTTCCTTTAGAGTCAACTTCAATTTCTCTTTTTAAAAATCCTCACCCAAGGATATTCTTTCCATTGATTTCTAGAGAGTTGAAGGGAGGGAGGTGAGGGAGAGAGAGAGAGAAACACCAACCGGAGAGAGACACAATTGTATTTAAGGTAAGACGCTTACTAGAAAATCCCATATAGTTCAAAATAAAAGTATTGCTCAATAACCTGAGGGCCAAAGACATAACAGTAGAAATGATCAAATACTTTGAACTCAATAATTATGAAGGTGCTATATAAAAAAAGGTGTGATACCGTCTTGGTAACCTTAAATATATTAAAAATGGCTGAAAATCAATGATATAAGAAAAAGTCAGTAAATTAAACCCTAAGAAGGTAAAAATAATGAAATAAGAGACATAATGAAACAAATTAAACACGCAATAGAAATGATAAAAATTATTCTTTAAAAGCCAAATAAGATTGATAAACCCTTGCAAGACTGATTAAAAGATAGGAGACAAAAAATTAATCTCAGACATAAAAAGAGAGATCACTTCAGATCCACATAGACTTTTAAAAAATCAGCAGAGGGCAGTGTGCCATAAAATTTAAATGTTAGATTAGATAGATCAATAAACCTAATTTGTTGAAACAAAAAGAAATAGGAAATAGTTCTAAAATTACAAAAGGAATAGAAGCTGTAATTAAAGGCTTTGCACAATAAAAACTTCAGGTCAACATGGCTTTCCCGGTGAATTCTATGTACCATAAAATATTTAACTTTCCATCTCTCTCAACTCTTTATTGTCACAATAAATTGATGGTCTTGCTTTATTTTTTATTGAGAATATAGGTGCTATTAAAATAAAATGCCTCCATCTTCCCACTACCAGTTTACCTATGTCTTCTCCATCTTTCCTACTGATACAACAGGGGAGGTGGCCTCTCTGTCTATTCCATTCTAGATTCCCTCCTTTTCCATTCTAGATTTTCATCCCCTTTTACCTTTTTAGACACTTTAGTAGCTTTAGCTCCCATGAGGTATCTCCAATGTCTACTTTTCATTCAATCTTTTAAAAAAAATATACTATCTAATCCAGTGATGGCGAACCTATTGAGCTCAGCGTGTCAGCATTTTGAAAAACCCTAACTTTGGTGCCGTGTCACATATAGAAATTTTTTGATATGTGCAACCATAGTAAAACAAAGACTTATATTTTTTATATTTATCTTATATATTTAAATGCCATTTAACAAAGAAAAATCAACCAAAAAAATTAGTTTGTCATAGGTTCACCATCACTGAGCTAATCTAATAAAAGAGAAACATGCAAATTGACTGCACCTCTGCTATGCCCCCAGCCATGCCCCCCAGCCAATGAGCGACGATATGCAAATTAAACCAACCAAGATGGCAGCCAGCAGCCACAGAGCTGGAGCAAGCAGGAGGCTTGGTTGCCCCGGTGATGGAGGAAGCCAAGCTTTCTGCCTGTCCTGGCTGGCTGTGGCCTCCACTCAAGGCAACATAGTTTCAATTATAGAAGATAAATAAATCCCAGATATCTGCTTCCAGCCAGCCTCCACTGGGAGCTTGGGTAGCTGGGGGTTGTGTCCAGCCTGCAGAGAGCCATCAGCCCCTCACCCAGGCTGACCAGGCACCCCAGTGAGACCCTCACCCTGATCCGGGACACCTTTCAGGGCAAACCAGCTGGCCCCCGCCCATGCACCAGGCCTCTATCCTATATAATAAAAGGGTAATTGACCCTAACAGCAGAATGACTGGGAATGACTGGCCACTATGACACACACTGACCACCAGGGGGCAGACGCTCAATGCAGGAGCTGCCCTCTGGTGGTCAGTGAGCTCCCACATGGAGGAGCTCTGCTCAGCCACAAGTCAGGCTGATGGCTGCCAGTACAGCGGTGGTGGTGGGAGCCTCTCCTGCCTCCTCAGCAGCGCTAAGATGTCCGACTGCAGCTTAGGTCTGCTCCCCGTTGGGAAGTGGACATCCCCTGAGGGCTCTCAGGCTGCCAGAGGGATGTCTGACTGCCAGGTAAGGCCCAATCCCCCGGGGAGCGGGTCTAAGCCAGCAGGTGGTCATCCCCCGAGGGGTCCCAGACTGTGAGAGGGCACAGGTCGGGCTGAGGGACCCCCCTGAGTGCACAAATTTTTGTGCACCGGGCCTCTAGTTTAATATACAAAATAACATAAGTAATACATATGCAAGTATGGATGGCATCATAATAAAATGCTCAAATGAAATAGAACCCACTTATTTATCATCTCCACTACTATCATCCTTTATCAAATTTACTATGATCTCTTGCCTAGAATATTTTTAACAATCTCTTAACTGATTACTTTATGCCCTTAAATTCAATTTCCATAAACAGGGTTATCCTTGATTAAAATCTTTCAATGCCTTCACACTCACTTTGATTAAAATCCATACTCCTTACCATCATCTACAAACCCTTGAATAGCCAGTCTCCTGTGTCTCTAATCTTATTCTACACCAGTCTCCTGCTCATTTATGCTTCATCACAGCAGCTTCCTTTGGTTTCTAGAACACATTACATTATTTTCGCTGTCAGATTATTTGCCTGGAATGTTCCTCTTTTCCTCTTCCCCTGTCTGGCTTCTTCTGGTCCTTCAAGTTTCTGCTTAAATGTCTCCTCCTCAGAAGCCTTCCTTGACCACACTATAAGGTGGCAGCCTCATTCCCCATCCTAGTTACTCTTTCATACCCCCCAGTTTATCTCACAGCTAAATGTTATTACTATCACAATTTAGCTTGTTTTTGTTCATTTACATGTTTATTATCTATTTCTCAAAAAGTAATCTTCATGAGGGCAGGGACCTGGTCCATCTTACTGCGGTAGACTAGTACCTAACTGTGCATATATAGCTGACTCCATTTAAAAATTAATCCTTCTTGCCGAAACCAGTTTGGCTCAGTGGATAGAGCGTCGGCCTGCGGACTGAAAGGTCCCAGGTTCGATTCCAGTCAAGGGCATGTACCTGGGTTGCGGGCACATCCCCAGTGGGAGATGTGCAGGAGGCAGCTGATCGATGTCTCTCTCTAATCGATGTTTCTAGCTCTCTATCTCTCTCCCTCCCTTCCTCTCTGTAAAAAATCAATAAAATATATTTAAAAAAAAATAAATAAATAAAAAAATTAATCCTTCTGAACCCTTAACCCCATTCTCTTTCCCCTTGGGAACACTATGAATGTGTACAGAGACTCCAGGTTAATTGTGAATTACCATTATTCCTTCCTCCTAGGAAAGGTACCCTCAATGTTATCTTGCCCTGGGGCCAGAGCCCCCATTATCTGGTCCTTTTGTTCTCCTATATCACCTTGCATTCCTTTTGAAGTACTAGGTCCATTTCTTTGGAAGTACTAGAATAGGTGGTCTGGGGGTAAATGGAGCAAGAATCCATGTTGTCCTGCACCCACCTAGGACTGTGTTTCTGTAAGCTCTCTATTAAAATTCTTTAAACTGACAAGCTAGACTTGTCTGCTTTGTTCTTTGGAATTTGGGGGCTGATTTGCATACACCATCTTTTCACGAAACACTAACCCAGTTCACAGTATACAAATGTTTAATAAACACTGATTATATAAATACTTTATTTTGACTCCCAACTGATTTTTTGTTTGTATTCTTAATTAGTTGAAAATCCAAATCTGAGAGATTGTCCACAATATCCAAGCTTGTTTGTAGTCTCAATTAAGAACCAAGTTTCAACAGGCTTATAGATGAAGAAAGTCAAATAATGACCAAGTATGTTTAGCTTAAAATAAATCAGTGTTGATTCTCAAGAAAGCATTTTCAGAAAAATTAATAAATGAAAACCATATCAGATAATGATTAAACAAAGAAAAAATATAAATTTAATTGGAGACAATAGAACTGAAAGGAATATTTTATGTATGTTTGAATGAAGACTGAATAAAAGAACAGTAATTAAAAATCATGAATCCAAGAATATATGCATCCCTATGTTCATAGCAGCACAATTTACAATAGCTAAGATCTGGAAACAGTGCAACTGCCCATTAGCAGATGAGTGGATAAAAAAAGATGTGGTACATTTACACTATAGAATACTATGCAGCAATAAAAAAGAAGGATCTCTTACCCTTTGAGAAAGCATGGAGGGACCTGGAGAGCATTATGCTAAGTGAAATAAGTCAGTCAGAGAAAGACAAGTATCACATGATCTCACTCATATGTGGCATCTAATGAACAAAATAGATCCAGAGACACAGAAGCATGGAACAGACTGTGGTATCTCAGAGGGAAGGTAGCGGTGGGTGGCTGGGTGGGAAAAGATCAACCAAAGAACTTGTATGCATATATGCATAACCCATAGACCCAGACAATAGGGTGGTGAAAGCCTGGGGCAGAGGGTGGGCTAGAAGGGTCAATGGGGCGGGGAGGGGAAGGGGACATATGTAATACTTTCAACAATAAATATTTAATAAAAAAATCATTAATCCAAGAAAACAAAGTAGGATGGGACAGGAACCAAAAGTAGAGGACTAAGAGAGGGAAGAGGGGAAAAAGAGAAGGAAATGGAGGGAGGGGGGAGAAAGAGAGGGAGAAAGGTATAGGAACAGAGGAAGAGAAAGAATCTTTTCCTCTGAAATAGCTTTGAGAAAAGATACTCTCCAAAATATTTCAGATATTCTGACTCATCCATGGAATAAATCTCATATTCCTGGTTCTTATGAACTCACCTGGATAGGGGGCTCTTGAAATTTCTCTCATTACCACCCATGGTCCTTTTTTATCCTCCAAACGAGATATCATATCGGGTTTGGAAACTGTAAGCCCTGTTCAGAAAAAAAGGAATAGGATTTGATTGTGCCTATGAGAAGAACTATAGCCAAATTCAGTCTCAGCTCTTAATCTCCTGTGCAGAGTGGCTATTGTAGAAAGTTCCAGAGATGTGCTGTCCAATAACAATTGCCAATAGTTTCATGTAGCTATTTAAATTTGAATTAGTTAAAATTACATAAAATTTAAAATTTAGTTCTTCGATTGGACTAGTCACATTTCAAGTGCTCAGGTGGCTAGTGCTTGGCATATGAAAAGGACTGATGTGGGTCATTCCCACCAGTAGAACATTCTACTCTATCAGTGATGGCGAACCTTTTGAGCTTGGCGTGTCAGCATTTTGAAAACCCCTAACTTAACTCTGGTGCCGTGTCACATATAGAAATGTTTTGATATTTGCAACCATAGTAAAACAAAGATTTATATTTTTGATATTTATTTTATATATTTCAATGCCATTTAACAAAGAAAAATCAACCAAAAAAATGAGTTCGCGTGTCACCTCTGACAGGCGTGTCATAGGCTCGCCATCACTGTACTATATAATGGGTGTCAGAGAATTACAAAGGTATTTCAAAGTTCAACACTATGACCCCAAGTTTGTTGGGATAACAGATCATGAGAATAATCTGTTTAGAAAGAAAAGGAACAAACACATACTTGTAAGAGTGACTAGAAAAAATTTTAGTTCTAAATCAGGAATTGTCAACAATCTCCAAGATTCCAATGAAATATGTATTTCTTACTCTGCAATGGGTAGGCCATTTAGTTAAGAGTGAGGAATAGCTAACTCCAACAATATGCTCCTAAGATTATGAGATTTTAATGCCAAAATTCAGCAAACCTGGTCAAATGGGCAGATGCATATACTTACCCAGGGAGACAAGATTCCTATAATTCTCTAGCATCACATCCCTGTGCAGGCCCCTCTGTGTAGGGTCCATCAACCTCCATTCTTCCAATGTGAAGTCTATTGCCACATCTTTAAATGTCACTGATTCCTAAAGAAAATACATTGTGATCACCCAGGGACTATACAATAAGACCTGTTAGGCAGAATAATTCATATAGAAGTGAGGAAAAATTTCAGAAATCAGAATCACCAAATGATTATGGAAGTTAATCAGTTCAACCTTCAAAGGATGTATGAATCTCCCCAATGACAAGAACTTAAAGTCACAAGAGGAAACCCATTCTATTTTTAGTTTTATCTACTAGCAGGATTTTTTTTCAGACTAATTCAATCTGGATTTCTATAACTTCAAAAAAAATTGGTCCTACTATATTATCTGGATTCACACAGCATGCTTTCCTCCTTCCCTAGAAAGTCTTTAAGATATTTGATAACAGCTACTAGTTTCCACCCAAAGTATCCTTTCTTCTTAAAAAGCCTGGCTTATGTATAATATCAACTCTTTTTCAGTTTCAATCTATAAAATATGGCTTATCAAAATATACGTTTTGTCATTCAGATGACAGAAAAAGATTATAAGATCTCTCTTTGAAAAATAAAAAAAGTCACAGAATTTTGTGGAACTTCTTTGGTCAGGATATGAAATATATATGCAACTATGTAAAAAATAGAAGAACCAACCATAAAAAATTTTAATCTTACCCACTGGAAACATCTGAGTATATATATATGCATATACATATGCATATATATATGCACATATATATGCATATACACACATATATATACATATACATACATACGTGTATATGTATATGTATATGTATATGTATAAATAAAAGCCTAAGCGACCGGCCGACCAGCCAGTAACTATGATGTGCACTGATCACCAGGGGGCAGATGCTCAACACAGGAGCTGCCAAGTGACAGCAACTTTGCAGAGCACCCTCCCGTACTTTAGGACCCCTTGGGGGATGTCAGACTGCCAGTTTCGGCCCAACCCCCGCAGGCCAGGCTGAGGGACCCCACCAGTGCACAAATCCATGCACTGGGCCTCTAGTAGTATTATAAAAGAAATACTTAAATGAAAAATAATCTATAAACCTATTTGCTCTAAAAGTAAACAAAATTTATAATAGTGTGGGAATATGGTACATTTCTACTGTGACATCTAAACCACTTGAAAAAACTACTATTGTATAAGACAAGAAATTTTCCAGGTGATTTTCTATGCCACATGATAAAATCACAGCAGAAAAAATTAAAGTTATATCTTGCTAATTCCATCAGCATATGATCCCCAAATATATTTGTAATTCTCCCTATCACATTGTCCAAATAGTCTTAAAATCCAAGCAATATGGATGTACTATTTAAACATTTGCCACAGTGGTTTTTTTGAAAAATAGATATATTATTTTTAGATGTTTCCAACAACAAAAGCAATCCGTAAAAATTAAAAGTAAAATGAAACTAGTTGTTAGAATACACATTCATCAGAAAGACACTATTTTGAGTGGCTTTAAAACACAGTAATTTTTCTGGATTTCCCTTCTGAGGTACACTCCAAAGGAGAAAAAGAACTACAAATAACAAAAAACATGCTTCGGTAAGTAATCATGTTGATGGTGGTAGTGACAGAAATGCTATTTTTTAAAAATATATTTTATTGATTTTTAAAAATATATATTTTATTGATTTTTTTACAGAGAGGAAAGGAGAGGGATAGAGAGTTAGAAACATTGATGAGAGAGGAACATCGATCAGCTGCCTCCTTCACACTCCCCACTGGGAATGTGCCCGCAACCAAGGAACATGCCCTTGACCGGAATCGAACCTGGGACCCCTCAGTCTGCAGGCCGACGCTCTATCCACTGAGCCAAACCGGTTACGGCCAGAAATGCTATTTTATAACTGTTATTTGTATAGTGTTAGAGAAAGCAAATTAGTATACTGATGTCATTGAGGACTAATACATTTGGCATGGGAAAAGTAATATGTAAATGTAATATTGATGAAATTATATAAAAACTCTATAGATCCAAAACTGAATTGGAAATATAGTCTAAATTTATGAGATTTTATTTTTAAGGAAAAAAACGTATTTCCTAGCTTTGACCACTGAAAAGGCCTAGAAACAATAACCAATAAGATAGCATTATGCAAGCCAGACTGTGGTTTGTAATATTGCTTCCCACTAAAAGGAATCAGGGCCTGGAACTTTCTGTCATACTAAAAAGCAAGGAAGCTATCAAAGGTTTCTAGGATCATGTCTAGGACAGGAGGCAATTTGAAGAGGCTCCCATTGGCTAATGTTGGGACAATCTGAGTATTAATAAGGATAATAACTGTAGTGGATTTCAAAAATATATGTTTAAATTCATAATTTCATAATAAAATTATAAAAATACTCATTGATCATTTTTGAGAGATGATTGGAAACTGATAATTAAGAAGAAAGAATCGGAGGGAACCGAAGATGGCGGCATAGGTTAACGGCAGAGATTGCCGCCTTGAACAACCAATTCAAATTAAGCTTGAACCAGGGAAAGGAAAACATCCAGAGCCACAGGAGGGCTGGCTGAGTGGAAATTCTACAACTAGGAGTAAAGAGAATATTATATCCACACTCAGAGGAGCGGCAGTGCTGAAGGGAAAGGAACATCCAGAGCCACAGGAGGGCTTGCTGAGTGGAAATTCTACAACTAGGAGTAAAGAGAATATTATATCCACACTCAGAGGAGCGGCAGTGCTGAAGTGAAATTCTCAGGTACCGAGTGCGCGCGGAGCGGGGGTGGCAGCGCGGAGGGCGCGATTGTTTACAATCGGGAGGGAGTCGCAGACTCTGACCTCCAGATCCGGGCGAGCAG